CAGGAGAATTAAATAATGTCAAACAGCAGCAATTTGTTCTAAGGGTCGCTAAATTCCGCTTAATGAAGTGAGAAGATTGCTTGGCACGAGCATATCACTTACAAACCAGCACATTTTGAGCAACAAACAAATCTTTTTTAAAAAAATGCTTGTACTTGTCATAATCATCAAAAATCTGTCATATTTTCCAAACAGAGAACAATTACTCGTCGAAAAGATTATATAAGAAACGATTTGTTGGAATTAACTAATAATAATAATAAAATTGAACTTTGTTCAATAATATCTCATTTCAAGGAGCTACCCAATAAACTACTCATTACTTTCCGCAACAACAAATAAAATGCTACTACGACCAAAATCGCCCACCGCTAAAAACTCCATAGCGCCAAGACCCCCCATATCACCGAGACCGTCCAAACCACCGAAACATGCCTCTAGCGGCACAATGATCATGAAAAGACAGATAAACAAGATAATCTGGAGCCGTAGTCGGTTCTGAATCTGCAGATTGAAAAAAAATTCTGGGGAAAGACTCTTACACAAGGGGATCTGAGCGAGCATGGCAAGAGGTTATAAAGATCATTGGTGTTTGAGAGTGTAGACTCTTTTACAGGCCCCAACGAACATCTAATTTCCCAAATTACATGCATATAAATTTTTTTGCAGAAAAGTATGCTTTAAGCGCTCACTGTGATTGTTCTAATCTGTATCTACAATACCGCTCATAACTTTTGCAAAAGAAACGTGATTTCACATAAAAATTCGTCGCAAAGTCGCATCGTCATAACTTCTTTTAAAATAGAGATTTTCCAAAAGTAAAAGCGGTGTTAGACTCAGCTCGTGCAGACGAATCGTAGGGTATGCCAGACTACAGTAACCCCTGGGAAGTACGGTAATAAGGAGGAAGTCGACATCGCGAATCCGTCTAAAACTTTGCGTGGGAGTGTCATATAACTACCCCTACGCAAAGTTTCAGACGGATTCGCGATGTTGACTTCCTA